CCGGCACCACTCCAGGGGGCTCCACAGCCGGCCCAATGGGTAGCTGCTAGGGAAAAGTTACTGACAGCTGTGCACGCGGTGCGCACACCCCCCCTAACTGGAATAGATATGAGCAAGCACTCGAAGAAGAATATAATTATTCCTCACTAAGAATCATGCTTTCAATTATCACATATCTGTTCTCATTTCAATTCTTGTTCATAAATATTAAAAGCATAATGAAAAGTATTACTACATATATTCATTTTTCATATGCCATGCATAGAAGGACATAACTAGTTCAGTTATTGATAATATATTTGCATAATTATGTGTCATACTACAAATCTCATTACTGTTTAGAGATCTCATTGTACTAAGCTTGTACCAATGTTTACTGTAGATTTCTGAAATTAGTTTAATGTTTATGGATAAATTTGTCTTCCTTCTAAAAAGACAAATGAAGAACTAATAATTCCAACTAGCGCCAAGTTTAGTAAACGCAGACGTGAAACCTTCTTCAAGGAGCTCTGCTTCATCTCTCAACCGCAACCCTCATCACTTCCTCTAAGTTGGCTCAGTGTGAAGGTGGCTTATGCCCCTTTCTGTAGCTGATACACCCCACAAGGTCATACCATCTTCTGAATAGGGCCTTTACATGCTCCTCTACTGGAGTGTGCTGGTGAATAGGTTTTTGTCTGCAGTCTCACGAGCCACAAAGTGCATTTTCAGGAATAGTGGAGACAAAAATAGAAGATAATTCCACTATTAAAGGTGAGACGAAATATTTTTCATTTGATTTTGGAGAAATTGTGTTAATGTTATTTACAAATGGCCTCAACAAAATTACACTAACAAAATTGAGAAGCAAACATACATACTATCCTACAGGCGAAAAGGAACCAACTAATGAGGAGGGAGGGTATCAGCCACCCAGAACACAACATACTGCACTGCAGGAAGGGCAAATATTTAATCAAGGACCCAAATCTTAAAAAATTTGACATCAACTGCAACATTCACACAGAGCGCATCGGACTTTTATTTTTAGGGACTTCTGTAACAGAACCCAATGCAGCTAACTACATGGTACCAAATTTACCTGCCACAGAAAGATGAAAGACCGAGTCAATCCTACCACGATTTGAAACAATGGTTCCAGGGAGTCCAAATATTCCAATCTATTCAGGGAATAGCAGGTGCCTTTCAGTCAATCAGTTATAAATTTAAATTTTTCTCTTTAGTCTTGTGTTCAGCAGAGCTTGAATAATGTTCAATTATTCATGAATAATTAGTCGATGTAATAATCGCCAAAGCATGCCAAGAATTATGCCCTACTATTAAACTACAGTATATATTATCCAAGACTGACATTAGTTCTGTCATTCAGATGGTACACCTCTCTCCTGGGACTGAAGGATGTGGGGTCAAATATCACACCAGGACTTTGCTTTGTATGCAAAGCGGACATTTCATTGTGGTACCAGAGGAGGTGTTTCTCTCAGATGAGTTGTCAAAACAAGGACCCTCCTTTCTGATTCTGGTGGCCATCAGTGGAAGTTAAAAAATGTGGGGGCGGGCGAGGGGGGACATATATATAAAATCAATCAAGTGACTATGTGGACAGACAAGATTCCAATAAAGCAACTTCCAATTTGAGCTATTGCTGAGCACATAAAGGAGGTCACATTTGCCTATCCAGTCACTATACTATCCGTTTCTAACTCATTACTGTAAAGCATTTTGTAATACTTTGAGTCTGAAGGATGCTACATGAAACTAAACTCCATTCTACTCTTTCATGGTCAGCTCTGAAATTGGACAGCCCTGATAAATTAATACCGATGGCATACTTTAGATTATCTATGGAATCATCACCAAACTGACGACCTCCTGGCTCTATTTGCTGAACACTCTTTCAGATCACTAACCATTCATCACTTATTTAATTACTCCATCTCAAAAGATTTTTATTAAGTTTGAAATTGTCATTAGTGAGACTATAATAATAATAGTTCACTTTTAGAGCAGCAACATATCATTATAAAATCAGCAATAGGTAGGAACTAAAGCAAACATGAACCTCCTGTAAGTTCTTTAGGCCTCGGTCCTGCAAATACTTATGGACATGTTTAACTTTACTCAAAAGTAGTCCAATGCCTTCAGTGGGATCACTCACATGCATCAAGTTAAACTCAGATGTAGGTGTTTGAGATGTTGGGCATTTTAGATTCTTAACTTGCATTTTATTTTTACATGTATATATATATAATGCATTAAAAATGTTGGTTGCAAAGTCAAACACTCAAAAATCAGGAAAAAGTCCGATTTAACCAAGTTTACCCAGGCAACCTTAATTTATGCCCCTTTCTGAACTCATCCCATGAAATGAATGAGGCAGGGGTCCTGTGAAAAGCATGAGAGCATGTAACTGAAGACTATAAGATAATGCATACGAACAAGGAGTCAGAATTAAGGTTGCATGGGTTATCTTAAAATGGACATTTCCTAACTTACCAGTGCTAAACTTTGCAATCTAAATAGCACAGATAACAGATTTTTGTAGGTAATTTCTTAACCTCTTTCTTATTAGAAGCAGATTTTATTATGTACAATTGGAACAGCTCTCCCATCAGGCATCATCAGGAGAGTCAGAACCTTGAATTTGCAGCACAGACTTCTACTACTTGAGATGTAGGACTAATTGCATTCAATGGCAATGAGAGACAGCTGTCATCAAGGGAAGGGGGATGGACTGTGAGCACCATGTTCTGGGTCCAGGGAATTGTAGAGTGAGTCCTTCTTGGTCTCTCTTCCTGCATGCCACCCTCTGTTTGGGGGAGTTCCTGCACCACATGGTACCCCAAATATTGTTGAATTTCACTGCTGCAAAAGGACCCATAATGGTTATTGAAGTTATTTCCTCATATCTTTACCAATTACTTTTGAGTATTATAACTTGGAAACTGAAATGGCCTCAGTCTTGCAAGGTTCTGAGCACCCTCAACTTCTAATGAGTTAATGGGAGTTGAAAGTACTCAGCACCTCATAGGTTTCAGCCTTAAGGCCCCAGTTCAGAAATCATTTATGAGTTCAATGGGACTGTTCGCAGGCACGAAATTAAGCAAGTGTGTCATAAATTTTTTTGCAGGATAAGGGCCTAAGCATTTTTAACTCACTATGAGGGAGGTGTAAATATTAGAGATGGTTGGGAAAAGCAAGATGATTGAAATAGACAAAAAAAGGCAACAAATCCCATGAAATTTCTCATGGAAAACATTTTTCATTTCTCAGCCAGCACTACTCAATAGATCTAAACAGTAGTTGACATAAGATTGCAAAACTGTATTCATGTAAAATTATACAAATATATCTCCACTATCTGTTACATAATATTAGATGTCAAGACTTTTTTAATGCCGATTCAGTTTATAAGTTAGACACACTGGAACAATTGATTAAACAAAACCAATCAGGTTTGTGTTGATGTCTGTACACCTGATGTAGGGAAACAGTGATGTATGCATCTGCTCTGCACTAGTCTTCTGTAGCCAAATAACCACATTATTAAAATATATCATTTACATGCAAACAAATGAGGTGAACGTCTTCTCCAGATGATAAACAGTGTACTTCATCTTGTAAAAATTAAGGGATGCTACTGAGAAGAGGGGGAAAAGCAACTATGCTGTCTTAAGTATTAATCCAATCCATATTAAATTTATTGTAAAATCAGTCAAAGTTTAAAAAAACCAAACTAGTAATGCAAAAAATGCAGAGCCTTATTGACTACAGTACAATGACAGATATTCTATTAAAGTCAAAACTCCTCTAGACTCATTTGTTTCATATAAATTACATGTTCTTAGATCCATCTGTGAAAATTGGGAGGTTAATTATGATGGTACACTGCATGATTCCACAGCTAAATGCTGAAGTAGTTCTACACCAGTACCATATGTCTGTCTTAGGAAAATGTAGAAAGATTAATTAGGAGTTCAAGCCCAAGATTTGGGAAAGTAATACTCTGAACACAATTAGATCGTTACACTGTGTACTATGCAAATTGAAGTTTTAATTAATAGCTGAAACATCAGTCGGGGGGAAAATAAATCTATGAAGCCTAAATTGTATGCATCAGACCTTCCTTACTGGCACTGCTTACTAATGAAGGTCCTTTCAGAAACCATGAACTGGCTAGTCACAACAAAAGTCATTTTCACTTGTCACATTCATTTGATGTAGATATTACCTGTGGAGCATTTTAATCCTATTTGCTCTCCTTAACCATTTTTTAATTACCATCTATCCTGACACTAAAGAAAATGTTCTCATAAATAGGCCAGGCCCAGGACACACGTTAAATAAACCAGCTGAAAAGTCAGTTTAACATTACAGTGACCTGAAGTGTTCTTACAGCCTCTTAACTGCCTCAGACACAGGGCTATTGTAGCAAGCTTTCCAGTTTCAAGATATTCCATTACAAAACAGCTCCTTTTATAACAGTCACTCTTATGGAGAGAGCAATGGGTTATCATGTGCCTGTTCCAAATCCCACTGAAGTTAATGAGAGTTTTTCCATTTACTTCAATGGGCTTTGGATCATTCACTAGAACTAGGCTTGTCAGAATTCTATTTTTATTTTTTCGTAATTTCAATGGATAAAAAACTTAAAAAGAAATGTTTTTATTTTGATCAATTTAAATTTTCACAGTTGCTGGCTGTAAGAGGGAGGTCAAAATTATTGCTCGACAGCAGATATTGAGATTCAAAACATTATAACTTATAATCATTATAACACAAATTGGCAAAATCCCATGTTAAAATAAACAAAGTCAATATCCTTCAATCAAACTCTGAAGTTCTTAAGCAGCATTTTTCTTATGTTGCCTATCTGTAAATTTTAATAATCATAGATGGAATCACTTTTGTCGCTTTGTGCATGTACGATAAACCAACATTTACCAACAAAATTTAAATTCTTCCGAGCTTACCTAGCACATTAAATTAATTTTACTTACCACATATTCAAACACAAGTGTCAATGTCTCCTTGGTGTGAATGATGTCATGAAGCAGCACAATGTTAGCATGTTTCAGTCCTTTCAAAAGAGAAGCTGCAAAGCAAAATGTACACATTATAAAGAACATGTTACTTCCACAAGAAATAAATATTTTATAGTGAAGAATTAGCCCATTTGTTTTTAAAATGATTAGGATGGTAAATCAGTCACTCTACAGATTTCATTCGCTGGCTGGCCATCAATGGCTTTGTCCTGAGGGGTACTAAAAGGCCCTCAATTTCATCCTTCCGCATGTCTCAAGATTAGGGTTAGGCAAAATTTTGGGGCAAAACTTTTCACTCAAAAAATACAGAGTTGAATCAACCAAAATATTTCACAAATTTGTGTCAAATTCACTGAATTGTTTTGGTCAAAAAAACCTAAAAATAAATCCGGACAAAAACAAAACGGTTCACTTTGAAAATGTTTAAGTGAAATGTTTCAGTTTTTTTTTCTAATTCTTTTTAAAAAGGTTTTTATATATATATTTTATATATATATGAAAACAATTCAGGAAATTTAAATTTGTGATAGGTCTTGGTTGACCCAAACCTGCATTTTTTGGGTTTAAATTTTTCAATTTGAATGACTTTGTTTTGAAATTTATTTCAATTTTATTAATAAAAAAATGTTCATAACAAAGCAAAATGTTTTGTTCAGCCCAAAGTAGTAGTAGTAGTTTTTTTTTGTTTTTGTTTTTTAACTTTTTGGTTTGCTGAAAAATATGATTTCTTTTTGTCTTGGGTCTACCCAAAATGACCTTCCCTCCCCCAGTTTTCAGCACAGCCAGTGAAATGAAAAATCATTTATTCTCACAGCACTAATGAGGATAAAGCCCAGCCAGTGAAATGAAAAATCATTTATTCTCACAGCACTAATGAGGATAAAGCCATCCTTCTCTCAATGTTGTCTTCTCCATTTGCCAGTCAAACTCAACCCTGCTCTGAGGCAGAAATAACAGGGGTTTCATATGAGTGGTCTCCACTGAGTGACTCAAACCATTACCTTCTAGCCTATCAAATGTGTATGTTGATTTTACAATCTAAAATCTTTTTGTATCTCACATAAGATTTATCTCAGATAAGATCTGAACATTTTTCAAAATGACATTTCCCTTTCATAGGCAAAACACAAAAGGAGCTTTCTAACCAAAGGCAATCATATATTCTGTACATAGCACTTTGATAACTTCCCCCCATACACATTCAGATTTGTGGGAATTAACTATTTGTATTAGTCAGTGACAATAGAAAAATAAGTTAAGCAGTGTTTTCATATCTTTTTATAAATGTTATCAATTCATATTTCTTATTAACATCAGGGTTTTAGAATAGTGACAGAAATCTTTGTCTACTGAATCTGCAGAAGATTCTCCCCCAAAAAAATTCTTTTGCACTGCAATGCATATTTAATGCTTGCTTCACAATGAATAATTAACATGTATATTTAATGTTCCACAAAATATGCCATAGTTAAGCAATATGATATGACAAGCCATGTGTTGTTACCAATGTCAACATGTCATTGGTGCCTCGTCATGCATACATCTGAGAAGGATTAATACCAGTTATCATCATGGAGTATATTACACATAGAAATATATGGTATGTCTCGGTAGTCATTTACCGTGACTAATTTTTCCTCTTCCCCTCTTCCCTGTTGTTTTGGAAAATAATGAAGCACCAGATTGTGCCCAATATCATCTGCATGTGGGCATCCCTCTTTCCCATGCACAGAAGAGACTCAGACACTTCCATGGAACAGAGAAGAGTGTACTCTGAAGGGTTGGGACTCACCCAGGAGATCAGGAATGGACAGCCATGCTTTGAGTGGAGGCATGCACACATTGTCTCCCAAACTGGCCCTCTAGGGATTACCCCAAAAATGTAATACAGCCCTGGGCAACAACTCCATTGCAATGTGCAACTCGCCCCCACTCCATTTACGGATTCTTGTTTGGCTGTCCCAGCTAGCACCCCCCTACTGGAGCTATGTTGTGAGGAAGTGGAGGATGATGGGACAGGGACACACCAAGGATCCAGAGCCAGTGATCCACATAGATTACTTTGGCCTCAGGTGACTCCTACAGGATTTGTGGAACTTGAAGGCTGGATCCCAGGCTCATTGACCAAAGGTGAGGCAAACCCCTTCTCTTGATAGAACAGTTGGGGGAATGCCACAAAGGATCTTGGCTGAGATTTCCTCTCCTTTAGTCCCCCCTGTAGCTTTTACTACTGCTTGATATCAGGAATGTTCAATCTCACAATTTCAGTATAAAAGGCCAAATTAAAGCTGTTACTGGTGCGTGTCACAGGGTGGCTGGTCCCAGTAAATTAAGTCGGTCCAGCACCCCTGTTCCACAACAGGTACTTTGGCCAATTAAGAGGGCGGGGGCAGCACCTGGGTCTATAAAAGATGAGGGACAATCAGAGGGAAGGGGAGATCCAGTGAGAGAAGAGAGCTGGTGAGTTAAGACTGCCAGAATCAAGAGCCTGGAGGAGCACTCCAAGCAAACCTGCAGAAAGCTATCTGCAGACCATTCCTGGAAAGAGGACAGAATTATCAGGAAGCCAGTGGATGGGCTGGCCTGCTATCCTTCCAGTGCCACAGAGCCATGGCCAGAGAGGCTGGTGAGGACTGAAGGCTGAGAGCAGCAGAGGGAGATGCCTGCTGGCTCTCAGAGCCAGGGCATGGTGAGGGGCGCAGAGGCTGCACTGCAGTTTATAACCAGAATGTGGTGAGGAGCAGAAGTGCTCTCTCTACTTGATGCAGTTTCTGGATTATGGTTATGGGACTTGTTTGTGGGACTTTTATAATAAATTAACCCCTCAAGGGATATATATATTCAGAAAAACTATTTCGACAATTTCGGGAGACTCAAAGAGAAACTGAGGTAGGCGCACCTCTCATGTCATGGCCTGTCACAGGAGGGTGCTCTAGGCAGGGCCACCTTATGACAGTAAGTTAACAATCACCTAAAGGAGATAAACACTTCAGGCAGTCACCTGATCAGTGAACAGCTGATAACACTAATATAGGAATATTTTAAAAACTCTAGCATTTCTTTATCCCTCCGGACATTAGCTAATTCTTACCTGTTCATTATGCTTTTACTGGGGTATCACTAGAAGATCTATAGTACCTGGAGGGAGAAATTTTTGGCCATTGGGAGCCAAAACCAAATTGGAATTTTTCTCGGAGATGAGTCCTGACTGACCCGGCTATCAAGGAACAAACACAGAGGTGGAATGTATCAAAAAGAGAGGAGCTGACATGGAGCTCAGAGGAGGTAAACAGGTAGTAAAAAACTCCATTAACCAGTTTATCTTTAGTAACAGCTATCATTCAACAAGGAACCAGGGTAAGTGGAACAGGCTGTTTTGGAAAGAGGAAAGGAAGCAAGGAAGATCATAACACAATTTTAATAATTGTCTCAGTTTATAACCTTAAGGAGGACTATAATTGTGTTCAAGTTGTAGGGTAAAAGCCAACTAAATACACACTTTTTTTTTAATGGAAAGACGTGAACAGCAGACAGAAAGTGATACTACATAAAGCCCTCACCCTTTTTCAACTCACCATCCCACTCTCTCCCATACAGAGGGACGCATTAAAAATATCCTGACACAAGCTTAGTAGAGCTACATGCTGAAATAGTATTTATAACCTCTCTCAGTCTTCACTGTGCAGGCTACCTCCTCTAGATGCCTATTACTTCATTGTTAAAACCTCTAAATGGGTCATTAAAGCTTAAACAGTACATTGCAAGCAACACACCCTCAGGTTTTTGTACAGTCTCTCCTCCTACACATACCCCCTTACTCCTGCCTCTCATTTATCATCTGTAATAGCTAATTCTCTCCCTTATCTGACTGTTTTTTTCTGGATCTTCAATATCTACCACAGGCCACAAGAATTACAAAATGGCTGCTATGGGTTCGTTGCCTCCCATATTAGTCCCACAGAAAGAAGTAAATAATAGAGTAGTTTAATATACATGGAAAGAAAAATCCTTCTCGACTGTCATTACATATGTAATATTTTTATATTGTGGAAACCAAAAATCAGTTCTGCCATAAGTTACATTGGTGTAAATCCAGGGTAACAGATGCAATCAATGGAGTTGCTCTGTATTTACATTAATGTAACTAATGGAAGCAATATGGGAGCCAAATTCTGCCTATTGTTTTTGAAAACTATACCAAGAGACAACGCAAAACATTTCTTGACCCATAGGCTAAACATGTGTGATTTAATAAGTGGACTGCATTTCCCCCTTCTTCTACCGCCCGCCAAAAAAAATCCTTGTTTTTTTAAGTGGCATGCATAATCTAGAGTATGAAGACATTTAGAAACATCTCCTTTCAAAACAAATGGTCACAAATAACTGCTGTTGAAATCTCACAAGGCATTTTGTGTAAGTTCTTGTTCAGAAGTGGATAGAACTGCAAAAACTCCACTAAATTCAAAGATGGGACCAAATAAGTAGCATCTAAAGGCAGGAAGACTAGAGAATGAAACAGCATAGGTCTCTGTGACAGACCTGAATTCAATTTTGAAGCTGCCAATACAGTTGCTGTTGGAGTTCCACAAGGAGTCAGGTGCTGCTGCTACTGTTACAGCTAGAACAAAATATTCTCCTACAGATTGTCAACCAAATCTAGTCATCATCACCTACCAATGTCACACTAAACATGTTTTTTGGGGAAAGAAGACTAAAATATTGTTGAGATTGCACTTCAAGAAACCACAACAGCAGCAGGGAATATACCAATATGTACAGTATACTTAGCATTTATTCTGGAAAACTAATGATGTAATATTACTTTGATACTAAGATTTTTATCCTCACATCAAATGTAAGGTAAACAGATGGCAGCATTTTTAATTCATTTCCCCAATGAGTCTTCAGCAGGCATGCTAGCACGAGTCTTTAAAAAAATCAGTATTTGGGCTAAATATTACTACATTTGGTTGGATGCATAGGTGCTTGTTCTCTATTAAATGTTTTTATTCATTCTCAGACAGGATAAATTCCCAAAATTAAAAGACTC